TCAGGGTTCCTGAAGTCCCAGCACCGTGCACATCCAGCAGCACTGCAGGCTGACCGAGCAGCACAGCCATCTCAGACACCATTTAGAATTACCACTCCAGCCAGGAGCCATGCACAAACACACCCAGCGTGCACTGCAACCCCCCAGAGCATGATGGAGCTATCAGCCATGCAAAATGCATAAACATGGCAACAGACAATGCAAATCTCCCCCTCTCACCTGAGAACCCTAATGGTCAGCAACTGAATGGGTTTCTGCACAGTACTCCTGCCTGACAGACAGCTGCAAGGCCTGATGCAGGAACATCTGCCAGAGACACCCTTATCTTTTGATTCCCCACCAGTTCACTATGCCTGCTGCTCAGCATGCCAGCATAGCTACTGCAGATAGCTATTCCTGGACAACTCAGATAGGTTTCTTAATTCTACTCCCAAAGCCAAAAGGCTAAGAGTTAGGCATGGGGTGCTGATCTACAGAAAGCCAGAAGATGTTGTGCACCTACATTCCAGGCTCTAATTTGCATGTGACCAAGAGTTACACCAACCAACAAGGTAGAACTCCAGTGGAATCCCAAGAGTGCATTCACTGGTCAGCAAAGAAACAGTTCTTGCAGGCTGCCTCAGACTGCAAGGCATCAGTGGCATGTGAATCCAGCACTCGAGGTTAAGCATCTCTCAGGTATAAGAAGAGTTTGTTGCCAGGCTTGTGATAAGCTCTGTTTCTTCTGTTTCTTCACTAAATGCATGTAGCTTGGTGTACATGTGTGCACTTCTCCACTCTCTCAAATGTTTCTTTTTTTTTTCTTCACCTCTTTAAAGAAAAGAAAAATACCCAACCCACTCCTTATGAGCAATTTCATCCTTTAACACATGAGTTTTGCGCAAGCCAAGTAACATTTTTGGTAAAGAATATAATTGCAATTGTATGTTTCTAAGGTATTGTAAATAGCATGAAATTATTTTAAAATGTTATGAAAATGCATTTGCAGTGTTCCTTTAAGTGTTTTAACAAAGCTTCTGTTGAAATTGCTTTATTCCAAAGCAATCGAAGATAGGGTCTTTTTATAAGGATCTCTTTATCTCCCTACAAATGATTGAGATACAGATATTTCCAGAAAGGGAATGCACCAGAAAATATGTAATCTTACATTTTACAACCTATAGTTATCTAGCACCATAAAACGTCAGCTGCTATGTTTCTGAAGACCGCGCTGTAGCTCAAGTAAAACAGCATTATTACAGAAGTGCCCAGAAGCCTTATACAAGTTTAGGTCTGGTGACATACAAATATGCAGGCTCTGTTCAGTAATGTCAAGCCATTCTATAGCCAAAGCAGAAGCAATTCAAGAGATCAAGAGCAAAAATGAAGCTAAAATTAAGCAATGCATTCATGCCATCTTCCAGGAAATACAGTATCACATACCTCCTTGTCACAGTCCTTGGACAACATAGATAAATAAAATAGACATTGGCCTAAACAAGCTGGTCAGAAGACAGATTGTTATCATTCAGGGATGTAAGTTTGTCTACATTACAGCATCAGGAAGAATGCCTTATCATTTGAAGCACACTTTCAAGAGCATCTCTAACTACCTGGGACACATAGCTGCATAGAAAGTGGAATTCATTTCCTGACATGATAAGATCCAGATAACTTAAAAAACTTTTCAGCAGTATCACAATGGAAGAGATGCATGTGAGGATGTATGCATAACTTTCAGTCCAGTAACACTTTCCCAGGGCTATCCTGGAAGTCAGGTTACTCTGCAGTTGATCTTAAAGGGACACTAAAAAGGAAAAGAGTAAGTTTCAGAAACATGCTAAGAACACTGATAATTTCAACATATAGTCCCATCTAACATACTAAAGACATAAATCCACGAAACAGCCCCCACCTTGCTCTGGTAAAGAAAAGGGGGCAAGTACAGTGGTACCTATAAACACACAGGCACAACTAAGACCAAAAAGGAACAGTGTAATAAAGCTCCTTTTCAGGGTAGCTGCTCCCCCAGTGCTCACTGCAGAACTGAGCTCTGTGGAGTTTTCCAGCAGGTCACTTTCTGAGATTATTCTTACCAGCAGGCCTTGAAACTGGATGCACACCTTGTGGGTGGTTCCCATAAATGTAAATGTGCAGGAAAAGAAACAAAATGAAACAAAGCATATGACAATGGTGGATAGGAGGGGGAAGGAGAGTAAATCACTTGCTTCCTCCTAGGCATGAAGTTACCAAGACTCACATAAATTCTTGATCAGATAAACTCTGGCATCTTAAGAAGATAAGATACAGTAAAAGGTCATAGGCAGCAAAATAATACACATTTTTCTCTGGGGAGGAGGTGAAAAAAAGTCTTATGATACATAAAGCATTTCAGAATTTACAGGCTCATGCCCAGCAAGCATTGTTGAACCCATACAGACCAGCAAGGGTAAATTCCCCTTGGATCTTACACAATGCTACCATATCCAAAAAACACGACCATGATGCAGCTAAGTGTCATGACACTAATAAGGCACAAACTGAGTGAGAACAGAGGTTCTCTCCTTACTCACCAGCCACTTGTTTCCCACAGTGTCACTGGTGGTGTTGGGTGTCTGGAGCCTATCCATAAGGGACTACACTCCCTCTGGGGACACAGAAGCCCATCACGATGCGAGGATCCCTCACCTGTCCACTCTTGAGGGCTTATGCAATGCAATGCAATTCTACTCTACCACTTTGAAGGAGGAAGGTAAGAACAGCATTACCTAGGGCAAGAAGAGCTAATTCAGTCTGTATCCAGACACATCTCAATCTATTGCTAGGAAGGGGGAAAGGAGCATGGGAAAAGGAGCTGAATGAAGGAGGTGTGATGCGGATGGATGATGCAGAAGAGGAGCACGCTGGGTATCCGTGATAGCAAAATAACACTTATGGCATGGCTGCATCAGAATCTAATGGTTCTGGCATTGTCTGGAATCACATTCTCCTTGAATCTTATTGTCATGGTGTTCATATTTCAACCACTGCAAATCCAGACCCCATCAGTTCACACGGCACTGGGCCACCACTTGTGCACACAAAAAGGCCCAACAGAGCCAGGACCAGCACTCCAGTGAACTCAGTCAACGCAATACATCTTGTGGGACTTGGGCCTTCACTGATAAATATCAGACCGCAATAACACCAAGGCACGCAGAAGTCTGGGATGGGCACTAATGGCCTTTAACAGTAAACACTCCGCTACCAGAAACAACATGTAACTCCACTGATACAGTTTCCAAGGCAGTTACAAAATAGATATAAGCTAAAATAGAATAAAAAGTTGTTAAACATAACCAGATTATGCAACAAAGTTTATTTCTCAGGCATTAGAAACATCCCAAGTATTGTCATGTAGGTAAGGGCAGCAACCTTACCTACTCATTAATACATTTTGACAGTCAGGTTCTAGTTCTTAAAAAGTTTGATGCATGCACTTAATTTTAAGCATGCAAACAGTCTCACCTCACTGAAGTAAGGTTCATGGCTTTACCTGAACAGTTGTTTTGCAACTACTTTTTTAGCATATGACATTTATATTACACTTTGTTGATCAGACAATCACTTTTAAACAAGCAATGTATGCATTCTGGGTAATAGAAGTAGCCCAATGGATACAAGTTCACACATGCAAAACAATCACAGTAGAAAAAGACAGATAGACCACAGTATTTAAAGATCTTATCCTGTATTTTAGTGCTATGCAGCTTAATACAACTGCCAAAATTTAGTCACATGCTATCCATAGCAGAGATGAAGTTCAATGGTGTACAACACTTCCATGCAAAGCCCACAGTTTTCACACAGGTTTCTACGTCTTAATGTGCCTACTGAAATCATCCACATTTGGAATTTGCTTTAATACAACTTCAACTCCTTTGAGGGTAGCTTAGTGGCTATGAAGCATAAAGTAAAAAGAAATTACACGTACTTTCTGCTATTACAGATAACAGTTTCTGGCCTTGAGCTGAAGAGATAAAGTAGGAAAGTGGCAAAGGCAAAATCAGATACGTGAGCAGGTTTCATTGAGAAGCACCTTAGAACATGCCACTGAAAAATGATTTTATATTTTACCAAGCAGTATGACTTTAAAAAGATATCAAGTCACACTTTGAACACGCATGATACAGTCACCATGGCCAGAACTGTGTAATGGTTCATGAAGCAAGGGCAGCTTACATTCACTCAGCGGCCACAGCCAATTTAGCTGTAAAACATTCTCTAGGTGAATCACAGGTGGCATTGGCTAGATTGTGTAATGTGTCTCTCTAAAGGAATCTGACTAAAGGGCAGACAAACCATGGCACGTGCACTGTTAAACACTCAGAAATGAAGAAATAAAGCATGAGATGCTGTGTACAAGCCCATTACAGCACTATACGTGCATTACCATAGTTTTTCCATAAAGCCTGTATTTTCTGCAATTCAGAGAATGAAGCCAGCACTTATGAAGATAATTTAGTTATCATCAGTAGGTTAAAATTCTACTGAAAACATCTCATCTCTAATTTTCCTGGACACATGTGCAAATATAATTTGCAATGCAGTTTTCTCAAAAGGCTCTCAGGAAACACTTCTGAAGACTCCAAACACATTTGTGTGTAACAGGTAAAAACTTACACACCATATAAACGCTGTATAAGAGTACGACACTGAGTAACAGTGATAAAAACTCCATGGCCCTGTAATGGACATAAAAGCTTGCACATGTAAAAGCTCTGCCCATTTCTTGATCCCTGAGTGCTTAACTATGCAACCTTGACAGCATCCCATTTGGGCTTTCCTTTTGATAGACCAAATTCCTAGAGTCCGCTTAACATGTCAGCAATGGAAATCTTGCAAGTGAAGAACAATTACATTCAATTCCAAAGACTCATATGCCTAAAATGGTATAATTAAAAAAATTAAAGGAAGCGGTCATGCAGGATACTGGCAAGGAAAAGGTACTGAAGGAATTTTAGAAAAATCATTCAACTCACCAGTCCATTGTTTGGCTGAGGTGAAAAAGGCAAACATTACTGAGATGCATCAGTGAGGAAGTTAGAACACAAATCAAGGCCCATGCCTGCAAGCACATGTGAATAACTTCAGGCCCAGAAGCTCTTAATGTGGCAAAGTTATTCATGTGTGTGCTTGCAGAACCTGAGTTCAGATGTTACCGTTAGAGCGCAAAACACTACTTACGTGTTGTTGCTGACTACAATAAAAGCAGAAAGTCATCCGAGTTTAACAGCAACTATTTCACCTCAAAAAGATAAAAACCCTTCAAGTCTCACAAGGTAACTTAATAATTAATCCAGTCAAGCTGCTTCCAGTCCTGCTGCTGTTTGGTTTTGTTGCTTTTTTTTTTTTTTTTTTTTTTACCTAAGTCATTCAAGTCTGTGCACAGCTTTGCTCTGAAGTTACCTGAGAGCAGTAAACCCTGCAGTAGTACAAAGTGCTGCACTCTGCCTTGCAATGCACCAAGGATGCTTATGACACTTGTAACAAAGATGTGTTCTTTTTATTAGGTATCTCTTTGCCAAGGTTGGCGTAATCTGAAACATGCCGTATTCAGCCCAGTTTCTCCCCAAGCATTGAGTCCTTCCCACGTATCCCAGTAAAGATTTAGGTAACAAATAAAGCTAAAAGAGAAAAGGCCACCATGCATCCGCATAGCATGGAGCACATCTATATATCCAATTAGACAAACACTAGCTACTCATACAATATGTTTAAAGTATAATTGAGTACCATGGATTCAGATGGACTGCAGACTGCTTCTTACGGTTTATAAATTCAGTGAACTGAAGATTAAGTCTGAGTTTCATAAGAAGTTTCTCATACGCTGTCAGTATGGGCCAGCGGGCAATTAAAAAAAAAGCTGAGACAGCTAAGGTTCGTTAATCCTAACATTGAAGGATGACTGTTTAATACATTTTAGCAAATAAGGAGGAATTATGCACTGCTCAATCCATTATAACTGTAGGTACTTCAGTTCCCAGTGAGCTAGATGCTGACAGGAGCAGCTCCATCACAGCCTCACGCTGGCATAGAGGAGCATGGAACTCCAGCCAGAGTGTCTGAGCATGGATATGTGTTTGCTTGGCTTTCTTACTGGAAGTTTTACTATTTTTTCACATAAATGCGTCTGTCATTAGGAATGGAATACCCACTTTGAACACGGCCTTCTTTTGGTAGGCAGCCAACGGTGGGGGGAGGTGAGGTGGAAGCGTGTCATTGATAAAACTGTTTACGTTAATTTATTACACTGAAGCAGCACAAAAGCCTAGCAGAGCAGCACCCATCTGATGGAGGAGCACAGAGAGGCGAAGCCGGTAGGAATCATAAGCAGAAGTGGAAGCAGCAGGATTCCTCCACCGCTACAGGGAGAGAAGGGAAGGGAAGGGAAGGCCGCAGAGGGCGGCCCGCAGCCGTGCCCGGGCCCGAAGGCGGACGGGGCCGGCGCCGCGCTCCGTGCCGGGCGCACCTGGTGCCGCGCAGCGCCGGCCTCCGCGCCGGGGCCCCGCCGCGCCGCCTCCTCCCGCCGAGGCTCCCCCACCGCCGCAGCCCGGCACGCGGCCGCCCGCAAACGGCCGGGCAGGGCGGCGCTCGGCGGGGCCGGGGAGGGCGGCCCGCAGCGGTGCGTTGCGAGCGGAGAGCGGGCCCGAGCCCCGTAGGTAGGGAAGTCCCCGCCGCGCAGCCGCTGTGCCCGCAGGCGGGAGGCCGGCACCTCGCCGAGCGCGGGCCGGGCGCCCGTCCCCGCGACACGCCGTGCGGCCCCGCTGCCCCGCGGCGCCCCTTCCCCGGGGCCGGCGCTCCGCGGCCGCGCGGAGGAGGCGCCGCCCGCCCTTAAGTTTCGCCAAGGACGGGCCCGAGGTCACGGCCGGCAGCCGCCCGCCTCCCGCCGCAGCCCCTTCCCCGCCGAGACCGCCGCCACCGGCCGCACGCCGAGGGCCCGCCGCCCGCCCGCCCGCCGGCGGGGACTTACCTTGGCAGCCATGCTGTGCCCGGCGCAGCCACCCCCTTCCCTTCCCTTCCCTCCCCTCCCTTCCCTTCCGACCGCGGCAGGCAGCTTCTCCGCCTGCGCACCAGCCCGCCAGCGCCGGCCGTCACCGCTCTCCAGGCGCGGACGGGGCGCGCGGCGCCGCCAGCCCATTGGCTGCACCGCCCGGCCCGGCGCGGCCCGGCGCGGCCCGCGTGATCGCCCGGCGCGGCGCTGCCTCGGGGCCGGCGGCCGCGGGGGCGATGCGGCGGGAGAGGCCTCGGGAGCGCGGGGGTGCCCGCGGCCCATCGCCCCTGTTCACTTTAATCCGCGGTTGGTGCCCTCGGAGCGCCTCCGTCGCCTCACGGCGGCCGAGGGGCAGCACCGAGGGGCAGCACCGAGGAGCTGCAGAGCCCACACTGACGCTGGAGAGCGGCCCGGCTAACGACTCGTGCCGTTAACCACGGGAAGTTTCGGCCGTGCATCGAGGAAGGATGCCAGGACGAGCGGCTGCAAGATGCCCTCCAGCCTCGCAGGCTGTGGCAACCGTGCTGGCGTCACCCCTCTCGGCAAAGCCCTCTCTCGTGCCCCGAGCTATTTTTTTGCCCATGAGTCAGACTGCTGCTTGCAGGATGCTTAACTGTTGTATTTCAAGACTTTTGTCAGAGATGAACAGAATTAACTCATTTTGATACGCTTCTGGTGCCTGACCGACTGACCGTGACACGCAAGCACCCTGCTGGAACCAGCGGCTGCGTCCAGAATGACCGCAGGCACGGCCCCCTCGGCCTCACAGACAGTTTGCAGACTGTCTGCAGCCAGCCTGTCTGGGCGTGTTTGGCAGCACACCGCTTGGCACGCAGGCCCATGGCAATCACTGGCCCAGCTGATGCCCGTGCTGGTGGCTTCGTGGCCTCTGGCTTCTGGGGGAACTTTAGGCTGGCCAGGGGCTGGCAACGCGGACAAGGAGCTAGTCACTTGTGGGTAGCTAAAGGTTGCTTGGAAGCATTTGCAGAATTGTTGCAAGTAGCTGTCAGGCAAGGTTTTATTTTGCAATAGAGTTATGTTACTCATAGCTTTGAGGTGGATCTTCCAGCACCTTCCCAAAAGTGAGCTTTGTAAGGATGCTAAGAAGGCTGAAAGCGATACTAAATCTCAAAACCAGATTGATTACAATGTAAACCGTAGCAATTAACTGTTTCTTGTCTTTACTCGTCCTAGAGTGAGATGGTAGAGATCCCTCATGAAAGGGATTCATAAACTCATCTGCTCTTGCCCACTATATGTCTTTGGAGGATGGATCCTTTATTTTGTGTTTGCTTGTGATAAATTAATGACTTTTTGGTTTCTAGCAGATTGTATACAGTCTCCTTTGTGTGCCTCAGAAGTTTCTTCCATCACTAGTGAGGCCTGGCAGCGTATCTACATCCTTCATTTCCCCACCCTTCCAGTTTCTTCCTGCAATGAAACTACCCCACTTGCTGGATTATCTTCCTTTTCTGCCCATCCTGCATCCTTGTGCTTGCTGCACATGCTCAGCTGTACACAGGAAAGCTTCACCTTTTCTTTTGTGCTAGTTCTGCCTGACTTAGAAAACAGCAGTTAGGACAAAGCAGACTCAGAGCCTTCCTCCCAGCGCACCTTTTCAAATAAACACACACACACACACAAAATAGATTATGTATTGTCTATGTGCTAACAACTGGATAAATAAATACTGTCACCTTGTCACAAATGAATAGATAATAGCAGTCCATTTATAAACAACAAAACCAATCTCAGATTATTTTAATAATACCACTACAGAGAGAAAAATTACAGAGAGAAAATAGCATAACAATTGTCTTAGAATACAAATACAACATTCTGCAGATACACAGAAGCCAGGATATTTAGATGCGAGGCTGAAAGGCTGTCCTATTAAGCTTTATTTTTGTGAAAACAAGCTTCAATGTGATTATTTTTTTCCAAATTGAGACAGCTAAGAAAATTCCTACAGTTCTCACACTGTGCTACCACATGGTCTTGAGTCTTATCAAAGAAAAACACAACCAACAAACCTGCATGTATTTCAAGTAGTCTGATGGTAATATTCAGACATAAATAAAAACCAGTGACTCTGGAAAGCCTCTTTCAGCTGCTCCCTACATGTGACAGCACATAAGCTCTTCTAGCTCTTTATTTCACAGCCTTTGAGAGCCTCAAGTGCCTAAAGTCCTGAGCAAGCCTGAAGCAGAGTCTTGGCTGTGACAAGGCTGGGAAGTCATTGCCTAGCTTATATGAAAACCTGAGTGCAATAATCAACCTTAAGTTGTCAGCCCAGCAGGTATCTGTCCACAACTAAAGCACGTGTATGGGCCCAAACTCCTTATCTTCCCATAAGGAAGGAGACTATTCACTTTTACAATGGCATGTGATATGTCTGTGGTAGATTACAGCATAATGCTTGGCTACAAAAGCAACTTGTTTTCAAAGTCCCCCATTGACTGAGGTTAGGTTCAGATCCATGCTTCATATTCCTTTCAGTATATTTTAACCACAAAGCCATAAACTGCTCTGGGGAACAGAGAAGGAACATTTTTCATTCTTTTCAGTGAAGCTGTCATTGTATAGAAGAGAATCCAAGATGAGTTAAAACTCGGAGAGGCAAGATTCTTTTGTATGAGACAATGTGACAAGGGTAGCAACATGAGTCAGTTTTCATCACAAAAGATGTAAGCATTTCCTGGATAAGTTAGGAGGTTCTTCTGATCAAATGGCTTTTTCTATATTTAACTGTAACAGTCACACGATCACACACACCAGGGCTCTTCCCTTCAACAAGAAACTACCTGTAGTCATGCTCCTTCTTATTCCTTCTTCTGATACAGGGTACCCTAAGTTTCTTTATACATACGTGGACAAGTTCTGCAGGAGAGCTGTAGCTTGTTTCCAAAAGAATTCACAATCTAGTATCTGGAAGCTGACCACGAGGTGAAAAATTTGTCTGTTTTTTCACATGTAGAAGACTGTGAAAGTGGATTCACTACTTGGTGTTTCAGCTATTAGGTTATTATGTAGCAGGACAACTGTATTGTAATAGACACAAGATTTTGCTGAGCTTATTAAAAATAACACTGCAGAGACTGACAGTCTGGCATCCTTAGGGATTTTAGTCTTGATAAAGGACTGGTCTAAGCATATGGCATAGGATCAGCATTTTGTTACTATTTACTGATTATAAGGCAGAGCACTAGCTGGTTTGAATCTTAGTCTGACATTTATTATTCTTTCTATGATGTCTCTTACAGTGTCCTGAATTTTGCACTGGCAGCTCAATGCTTAAGCTGTACGCATTGAAACATGTAGCTTGAAGGCAAGGAAATCTCTTTCTGGGTCTAGAAAAATCTGAGCACATCTGGAAAGTTCTGGAAATGATTGGATCTGCAAAGAGTCAATCTGGAAAAGCCTGAGTGTAGCAATTAGCTCAGTGATTAAGATTAAGATTAAGATTAAGATTAAGATTAAGATTAAGATTAAGATGGTAAAGCAAAGACTGACCCAAGACCCTCAAGACCTATGCTAGTATCATCATCACTGAGCTGTTTTCCTCAGGATACCTTCTTTCTGCCCCACAACATAGTAGTTTTCTTCCAGATGGCTTTTTCTACGTTATATTATGCATACAGTAGCACGAGGAGCATGCTGTCCATTAACTTACCACAAAACTTGCATAAAGTATGTCTTCATGTAAGTATATCCTGCAGTAGAAATAAACAGCCCAGTGGCAAAGACTTCAACATTCAAATCAAACGACTGCAACTGATTCCAGCTTTTTCCTGAGCTTATTTTACTTAAATAGTTCTTAAAACTCATTACTGATTCCTCTCCTTCACTGAGGCTTCAAGGAAAGACATGAAGCAGTATTCCCTTCCTCAGGTTAAGGGTTTGATTTTTTTTTCCCCTTGGCTTTCGTTTCTTTGCATGTTTTTTGTTTGTTTGTTTGTTTTGTTTCCAATAAAGGCTATCTGGCTGCTATGTGTTAGCACATCAGTCTAGTGAACCTTAGTCAAGATCTTGTGCTCACACAGTAGTCCTAACTCTGAGGATTTCTCTAATAAAATCCAGTATGGCTCAGTCCAAATGAATCATTCACAATCCCTCTTTCTCTATTTGCGGAATATTCACAGCAGATCATTGTTTCCTCAAATATATTGCTGTCCTTCAGGTTATTTTATAAATTTGTCTGATGATTGTCAGTGTTTCTTTTTTGTTGCTGCTTTTTAACGTATCTCACATATTTGTAATTTAAACTGTGCTTTTTATCTGTGATCGCTGAGTAGGTCACCAAACATGATATTTCCCATCCCTTAGAACATAAGATTTTTAAATACTTTCACATGTTTAAAATTCATTGTCTATCAGTTTTTCTTCCAGAGAAAAT